AAAAAAAAAAAAAAAAAAGAAAATACCAATTTTTACGATTTCTTGAATATTCTCAATTCGATTAATACGTCAATACTGGAATAATTATCCCAAACTTACTAATGTCTATTTATTAAATCGGTGAATAAATAAAATGAACCGAAGATATTTTCTACTTAATGTCGAACTTGAAATTTAACTAGATGAATAACTTAGGCTCGGAACTAATATCGAGCATTTATTAATAAAGACTAGAAAAAAAAAAACTAAATACAGCTGCTACTGCTGCACGTTTTATTTTTTTCAGAAAAATAAAGGAGGAGCTCTATAGTATTCCAAATATCACACAGTTCAGCTATGGAGTTATCGGATGACACGACTTATGGAGTCATCCGTCATGGGCTGACTGACCTGGGTTCATCGAAGCTTCAAGCCGCGACGCCTTTTCAGCAGTTTTTTATAGTTTCTTTTTTCAAAATTTAAGATCTTTTGTGTGTGTGTTTGGCTTGTGAATTTGCGACTTGGTAATTTTCATTTATTCTAAATTATGCAATAAACATAAAAAAAAAAAAAAAAAAAAAAAAAAAAAACGCTCGTTTCCGAGCACAATTTCTCATGTCAATTGATGGCTATTTAGTGTTGGTTTTCACAAATACACGTAGGCAATACACGACCTTCATCAATTGACAATTTCTCATGTCAATTGATGGCTATTTAGTGGTGGTCGTGTTTTAGAACTTCCCCTATTTTGTAAAGTAGGTGTATAACCCAAATCCTCATAATTGTATTATATTTTATTCACAATTTAAATAATACATCGCTTCTTTAAAAATTATCTTTTCCTTTTCATATCTACTTAATTTTAGACTAGGAAATGTTTGTTGGAAAAATTGTACATCTAGGCATGCCAATAAAAACTCGTAGGATTGGGTTACCCGTATTTTCGAGTCGGGTAAACCCGACATGAACATGTTTTCTATCGAGTTTGAGTACAGTAATACTACTAGTACTCCGGATAAGGTCGGGTTCGAGTGTAGTAGGACGAGGAAGCTACCCAACAACCCATATAATTAATTGTAGCTCTCATTTTTATAAATGTATTGAGTTTGTTATAAACATAAAGTGCACATTCCATATGTTAAAAAAATTAGGTTATTTATTATAACTTGCATTTTATATACTAGATTAATTATAAATATTGCAAACTAACACGAATTGTTTATCATCTATGCAAAACGCAATGCATAAGAACAATCGTATTGCGTAATTATTATAATATATGAACATAAAATTTTTAAAGGCACATTATAAAAAGATTTTAAAAAACAAAAAAAAAAAAAAAAAA